AACAAGGTCTCCACCCTATAGAATTTACAGTGTAATTTAAACAGACATGCTGCATGGGCTGACAGGTCAGGCATGCCAGGAGATGGTGTTGGTGTTATATAACATGGGTGTGGAGGGTTTCTTCTTGAGTTATAAATACTTTCCAGTTACAAGGGCCTTTCATCTGGGATCCCAAAGCACTTTAGAATAGCAATAACCTCAATTGCTTTCTAAATGCACTTTCCATAAACTGCTGTGGGGACTGAGTAAATGCTTTTAAATGTCTATTAATTGATCTGTACATCTGTTCATTGTCCATATTAAACAGCATGGATGTAAACACGACAGTTCAGGAGAGGCCTGGTTTGGGCTGTGGTCTGGCTGCTCACCGATTACAACCCCAAAGAGGCCTGGGAGCCTTGCCATGGCGTTGGGAGAGCTTGATGGGCACCTGGGTATTTTGCTCACTCAACCTAGACAGCGAGGTCACTTCCTGGGGTTTACCGTGTATGGGTGACTTAACATTTCCAAGTCAGGTGAGCTCTGAGGAAGAATTTCCATTGGAGAAACTTGGAGTCATTCCTTGGCCAACAGTAATGGTTCTTATTCGGGTCTCAGTCGCTCAGTCACTTCCTTCTTGTGCTCCTTACTCTTCCCTGAGCAATGGCATTTGCAAAACGGCAACATCTATATTTTATTGCAGTCAGTATGGAGTGGAATTACCCCTCTATGTCTCACTCAAAGACCATTTAAGCGGGTGATTATTCCTGATGATTTGATTAATTCATTCAAATCCAAGAGAAGGTTGGCCTGGGCTGCAAGGTCCTGAAAGTCCCTCATTCTGTCCATCCTTTATATTGTTCTCAGAGTTATCTTTCTAAAACCCAGATGGAATCCCATCAACCCCCTGCTTTAAAAAACCTACCTGAGTGAAGTATGTCAATTACTTGTCAGTGAAACTGGAAAAATAAATAAAAAGAGAAAAGTTAAAAAAAAGAAATCAATTCTACTAGAAATCACCCACTTAAGCCTATTGTAAAAAGAACCATGCTTTTCTACCCACTGCAAACAACACAGCATAGAAATGGCTAAATAAAGGAATGTTTGAGACTACAAACACTGTGGTACTTTACACAGTCTTTTATTACAGAACAAGTAGAACTAATGTCATACAAATTACTCGGCACTACTCTATTTTATGATATATTCCATGTAATTTAATTTTCAGTAATGGATCAGGGCTGTTTCTTCCTTTGAAATTCAAAACAAATCTCATTACGAACTTGTGAATCATTCTGAGGAAAACAAATACAAAAACAAAGTGACCATTAATGTCCTTTTCAAGTCTGAAGTTCTATGAAAACATGAAGGTTAGGAAATGACTGTGCTTTAATGACCAAAATGTTTGAAATGATACTACTGAAAATGTCTAAGCAATCTAATTCTGAATCTAATAATTTCCACGTTTTACTGGTTTTACCTCAAAACCCTTCACATCTATTCTTTTCGCCCCTCTCCCACTGCCGCATCTCATAAAATAAAAGAACAAACAAAGAAACCTGAAGAATAAAGTCCAAAGTTCCTTCGCAGGGCGCATGTGGCCTTCATGGCCTCGGCCAACTGGCCTATTTCTCCGGCTGCATCTCTGCCCACGTGACCGGTGGCTTTGGCTACACCAAAGACATCGCCCCATCTCCGGAGATCTCAAACTTTCCTGTCCGTGCCTCCTGCCGTATTCTCTTTCATCTCCCCTTCTTGCCGTATGCTGCTGTCTATCAAAGCCCACCTTTAATATCCCTCCTCTTTGTAACCTTCTACAAGGCCCAACACCACACAACACCCACCCCCCTCTTTTCCTGGAGCACCTACTTAACTCCACCTCCATTATCTATCTGTCACATCGCCTCTCAGGCACTGGTTCATATAGGCCTGTCTTCTCAACCCTGCTGGGAGCTTCTTTTCTTTCTTTAGTTTTCTTATTAACATATAATGTTATTTGTTTCAGGGGTACAGGTCTGTGATTCATCAGTCTTACACAATTCACAGCGCTCACCACAACACATACACTCCCAATGTCCATCACCCGGTTACCCCATTCCCCCACCACCAGCAACCCTGTTTGTTTCCTGAGATTAAGAGTCTTTTATGGTTTGTCTCCCTCTCCGGTTTCATCTTGTTTCATTTTTCCTTCTCTTCCCCTATCGTCCTCTGTTTTGTTTCTTAAATTCTACATATTGGTGAGATCAAATGATAATTGTCTTTCTCTGATTGACTTATTTCACTCAGCATAATACCCTCTAGTTCTATCCACGTCATTGCAAATGGCAAGATTTCGATTTTTGATGGCTGCATAATATTTCATTGTATCTATATACCACATCTTCTTTATCCATTCATCTGTCGATAGACATCCGGGCTCTTTCCATAGTTTGGCTATTGTGGACATTGCTGCTATAAACATTGGGGTGCAGGTGCCCCTTCAGATCACATACATTTGTATCTTTAGGGTAAATACACAGCAGTGCAATTGCTGGGTCATAGGGTCTGCTGGGAGCTTCTTGAGGACAGGGGCCATGTATAGTCATATATATTAATATATGTTATATTATATAATTAATTAATAATATATAATTAATATGTATCTCTCTCCATAAAGTTTTGTTGAATGTCCTTTTTGTACATCAAAGGAGCAGAGTGGAAAAGACAGGGAGCAACTGTAGCTTAAGAGCCCCATAAACTATTTGAAACCCTCATCTTGTAGGATTTTGTCTCACCTGCTGTGAGGGTATCACCCCACAATAATGCTGACCAATCAACCTTCAGATTATAAAGTGATAAATTCAGTTTTTTTGTTTTCTTCTCTTTTTTTAAGATTTAATTGTGGTAAAATATGTATAACATGAAATTTATCATTTCAGTCATTTTTAAATGTACCATTCATTGACATTAAATAAATTCATGTTGTTGTACAATTATCACCACCACCATCTCCAAACTTTTTCATCTTCCCAAACTGAAGATTAGACATTAAACACTAACTTTCCATTCCCTCCTCCCACTCACCCTGGCAAACACCATTCTACCTTTTGTCTCTATGAATGTGACTACTTTGAGTACCTCATATAATTGGAATCGGGTAATGTTTTCCCCTTTGTGACTGGTTTATTTCACTTAGCATAATGTCTTCAAGTTTCTTCCATATTGTAGCATGAGGCTGAATTTCTTTCCTTTTCAAGGCTGAATAATAGTCCATTGTATGTATTTGTCACATTTTGTTCGTTCGTCTGTCAGTGGATGCTTGACTTGCTTCCATATTTTGGCTATTGTGAGTGATACTGCTATAAACATGGGGTATTTAAATATCTGTTTGAATCTCTGCTTTCATTTCTTTTGAATTATATACCCAGAAGTGGAATTGCTGGATCATATGGTATTCATTTTTTTGAGGAATTGCCATACTGTTTTCCACAGTGGCCACACTATTTCACATTCCCACCAATGGTGCACAAGGGTCCTAATTTCTTCGTGTCCTCACTAACACTTGGTATTTTGTTTTGTTTTCTTTTTTAGCAATAGCCATTCTAATGAGTATTGAAATGGCACCCACTGTGGTTTTGACTAAATTCAGTTTTGAACCTCTGCATTCAATGCCTTAATTTTCCATGATAAACCAAATCTAATTATATAGCATGACCTGTATTTCTTCCTCCTGAGACTTGAACCTGCCTTCTGGGAAAGTCACCACCACGGAGGGAGATCTAAAAGGTAACTGGGCCTGTAGCCTGTTGTACTTCTTCCTGAAAGTCTGCAGGGGGCACTCTCACAAAGTTGCCATGGAGGTTCAGCTGACGATGACAGGACAGGTCGGTTTTCCAGGTCAAAGCAGGGTTCTAGATCACCAGCAAAAGGGTCCTTTGGTTTCCTGACTCTCTTTCCCCCCGCCCTGCCCTCATAGTGTCAGCATCAAGGAGAACCAAACAGCCCAGGCTATAGCCATGTTTCTCAAAGTGGGTGCTAATGGTATGCGGAGTGGGAAAATTCTGCATCATGCATGACAGTCCTGCGCACTGCAGAACATTTAGCATCCCAGGACCCTGCTTGCTAAATGCCAGTAGAGGTCCCCAGTCATTGTGACAACCAAAATGTGCCCCCCCACATCTTCCAAGTACCTGCCCCCTCTGGAAATTGGGAGTTGCCCAAGTGAGATATGCAAAGGAACCTGGAGATTCCCAGTATCTGCGCTCACCCATGCAAAGCAGCAGCGCCCATAAAAAGGACTCATGTCCAGTTGAGGAGATGCTGGAGCTTGGCCAAGGAAAACGTCACAGGTTGCTTTAGGTGACCTAGACAACTCCTCTGAGTCTGCTAATGGTTAGTTGACAGTGAAAGGCTAGCATATCAAGAGAAAGGGGAAGACACTTTCTAAAAGCAAGGTGAGTACTATAACAGAAAAAAATACCCCAATATCACCCCCTGCTCCTGCAATCAGGACTTGAAATCTGAGCCTGGTCCCTTAAAGTCCATTTGACCTTCCCTCCCCCCCAGTGTGTGAACACTGCCCTCAGCAGCCTCTGCCTTGCCTAGGCTGGTTGAAGAGACTTCACTTCCCTGTGCTGCCATAGCAACCAGGAAACAACCTTCCGCTCACAATGAGAAGGATGGTGCAGTGGCCCAGATCTGTAGATGCACACGGCCCCGTAACAGAGCAACAGGACCAAGGCACAACAAGGGAGTAGGCGAAGAAGAGAGAAAGGTTGCCCAGAGAGTAGACAATCCAGAGCTTGAGGAGTCTGGGTTTGCGGTTTATTTTTTCTCCCGACAAAGACACACACTGTCTAAACTGTGTGGCTGGTTGTTATTAAGAAGCTGCTGTACGAAGGAAAAATGTATTTAATAAAAGGCCCAGTGTTTGTGGTCTTCTTGGGCTCACTGCTGAGCTCAGGAAATCTTGAGGTGTGACCAGTTTTCAGCCTTCAAAACCAAGATGAACTGCCCTTGAGAAGGGTGGTCAGAAGGGAAACATGTTCATGCTCTCTCTCCTGAGCCGGGGACATGGGAAGTTGGTCCAGAACAAACAGAAGCTAGAAGTCTATTTTGAACCAGAGGTGAGTCTTAGAGCTGAATATTTTGGGGGTGGGAGGAGAATGCTCTTAGAGCTGAATATTTTGGGGGTGGGAGGAGAATGCTCTTAGAGCTGAATATTTTGGGAGAATATTTTGGGGCTGAGCCGTGCTTGTTTTGGTTTGGTTTGGTAGTGAGGTTGGGGGGTGGGGGTCGCTGGTAGACGTTCCCTCCTCCTTGGTAAAACTCAAGAAAATAAGGAAGTTTGCTTGCACATCGATATTGCCCCTGGAACCCTCCTCCTTCCCCTTGCACACTGACTTACAGCCTCATTTGCTTTAGACTGAAGGAGATTCCAGACTGTTTAGAATTCAGATGGTTTGGTTCAAGACCAGAATTTCCACCTGGGTTCTAGACAAGTTGATGGCTGTTTGGTTTTTAGAAGTTTTGCTCTGTGGTTGAAACTCTGTGTATGTTCATACCATTTCAATGGCTTCCTTGAACTTTCTGGAATTCAACCCAGAGGACTCATACTTAACATAGGCAAAAAATAAAAATAATTTTTTTTTAAATCTCATTTTAGAAGATTTTAAAGAGGTGGCAAAATTCCCTTGTACTGGAATTTTATTTCACTGAATCCTCCCAGGAATAAGAAACCCAGTGGGGTTCTTTGAAAATATTTGGATCACACAGAGATTTCCATTGTCATGGTAGCTTGTAGTGATATTTGACCTTTGCTATATTAAAAGACCTATAAAGTTTCAAAGGACCTCTGTGGCCAATGGCATTTACTTACTTAGAAGATATGCAACTACTTTATAGGGTCCTAAATAGCCAAATTAGGTAATGTTACATAGCATCTGGAATGCACAGAAAGTCTCCCTGTGTACAGCTGAAGTGAGGGTTGGAATGAATGGTTTTCCCCTATTTAAACTGCCATCTAGTCCATAATTTCAAAGTTATTTGCTGCCCTTGATACTTACGACTACTTACTTGCATACCAGGACGTTTTAACTAGCCTATTGAAGCCTCCAGGCATGAACGGCTCTGCTGAAATTTGTATGGGGTAAAACAGAACCCTGCCTGAGGTTCTCCTGATTCTGAGATGTGGAGAACAAAATCAGTTGCTCCGAAGAGTGCTTGTGTCCCGTGACAGCATGAAAACAATTCACAGAAAATCAGTCACTAAAAAACTGTCAAACACCTTGCACCAGGGCTGTTGCTATCAAGGGACCATGGATCGAGGTGGTTTCTTTCCATTGCAGGATTACTTGAACTGGAAGTCCCCAGAAGATTATGTCCTGGTCAGCAAACCGCAAGAGGAGGGCAGTGCCAACCAGCACACCTGGAGCCTCTTTCTCCCCAAGACATTCAGTACTAGGAAGGGGGCCCTGATCCTCTACTCAGAAGGTTTAGCCTTATCAGCATGGACACCGGAAGAGAGGAGACAAGGCCCCCACCGCCCCAAAGGCCACAGGAAGAGACCGGGTCTTGAACTGCGCACACTTGAGGACCTCAAAAAAGCCATCCTGGCGTACGGAAGGAGACAGGTAGGCAGAGCGGTCCTGGGTTTGGGGAAGGCGCTGGCCTGCGTGTCTGGAAATCCAGTTGTAGCTTTGGCCATACCTTCTCAGACCCTAGGGAAGGTATGAAACCCTAAAACTTCCGTTTCCTCGTGTCTCAGATGGGATTGTACTCTGGGCCCTATAGGCCTCACACAGTTGCCACGGGGCTTAAATGAGATAATGTATGTGAAAGGGCTCTGAAAGCATCAGGGGCAGTGTTACCCTCATCTTGTATTTTCCTTTCCGTTAGAGTAACACAAAGTCCTTTTCAGCTTCAGACAGATCCAGGCCAGCAGACGTTTCATCAGAATCCTTGAAATCCTGTCTCATAGCCACAAGCATCATCCTCACACCTCTGATGTTTCTGGCTTTGTGGAAGGGAGAGGGAGAACATTTTAAATATTTACCTTGAGCCCTTCAGCATCTGCAGGAGAAGTTAATGAGTTTTTCCATTCTGAATTGAATCTTAAGGGAAAATCCCTGTGCTCATTTTTCTGATTCATACTTTCTAATGTCTTATGAGATGTCCACATGGCCCCTGACTGATGTAACTGCATGCATCAGCCCTTTGGCTGAAGTCATGAGACAGTCTGGAAATATGTGTCACTTTATACAATTCTAGGTTATAGATGCTGGGTTACTCCCTACTTTTTTTTTTTTTAAGATTTTATTTATTTATTTGACAGAGAGAGAGACAGCGAGAGAGGGAACACAAGCAGGGGGAGTGGCAGAGGGAGAGGCAGACTTCCCGCTGAGCAGGGAGCCCAATGCGGGGCTCGATCCCAGGACCCCGGGATCATGACCTGAGCCGAAGGCAGATGTTTAACTGACTGAGCCACCCAGGCGCCCCGATTGCTCCCGAGTGTACTGCTGGCTTCTCATTTCCCACAGGCTAAAGTCATTAGCTTCTTAATCCAGACCCTTCAGGCTGACTTTCTTTTCTAAAGCTAGCAGTGTCTACCAGTTGTTCTTACCACCGCCTTAACTATGAACCCCTCAAGACCCCACCCACGTGAATAGCTCACTGTTCCCCACACATTCTGTGCCCTTTTCTGACTATGCTTTTGCATCGCTTCAAAGCTCCTGCTGACCCTTCAAAATACGACTGAGATGTCATTTCCTCAGTGAAGCTTTCTCCCATTTCTCTAGGCAAAGATATCCCATTGCTCTCTCCTCTGTGAACATTCCCATAGCATCATGCATTGCAATGTATCTCTTTATCCATCTGTTACCATCTCCTTGAGGGCAGGGACCATGTCTAAATCATTTCCAGAAAACAGTGACTACCCACAAATGTTGGTGGAATGAATAAATCGATCGTGCAAGGCATTTTCAGTGTTTCTTACATCATCTCCCAATATCATTGCTGGGCAACTTATCACCTACCCCACCCTAGACAGAGTTTCCAAAAGGAAAGATTCCTGTCCCCTTTTCCTTCTTTCAAAATACAGAGAAGCTTTTTTTTTTTAAGATTTTATTTATTTATTTGACCGAGAGAGAAAAAGAGAGAGAGAGCAGCAGAAGGAGAGGGAGAAGCAGGCTCCCCGCTGAGCAGGGAGCCCGATGCGGGGCTCGATCCCAAGACCCTGGGATCATGACCTGAGCCAAAGGCAGACGCTTAACTGACTGAGCCCCCCAGGCATCCCCAAAATGCAGAGAAGCTTAATGATGTGACCAAATGCCCATTGTCCTTTGTCTTAGAATCATAAATTTTTGGGTGAAAGGAAACCAATTATTGTGGAAATCTTACTATTATTTTATAGCCCTTATTTTATTTAATCTTTACAGTGACCCAGTGACATATGGTTTTTCTTTCCCCCTTTCATAAATGAGAAAACTGAGGCTCAGAGGACTTAAGTGATCTGGCCAATGTCTCAAGCTAGTAAGTGACAGAGCCAGAATTCCAGCCTGGAATTGCCTGCCTCTCTAGGGCAGGCATGCTTTGTACTTTGCCCTATTGTCTGTGGGCTTGGAAGGGCCCCCAGATGTCATTGTGCCAGGCCTTGGCCTATTTGTCCTCAAATCCATTCCTCACCTTTACTTTACTTTGCTCTGCACAAAAGTGGGGTTAACCACAAGCTATATTTAATTCCACAAACATCTGTGTCAACTAGCTTCTAATTGAATTTGTTAGTGGAAGACACTGGAAGGAGATAGGAACGAGAGGAGAGAAAAAAGCCAAGGCATTTCTCCCCTTCCATTCCATCTGTAGGTGGTGCGAAACACCTGCATCACCTCTGTGGTCCAGCTCCCGACAGACAGGCCCAGTGTGGCTCCTCACCAGGTTCCTCCAGCTGACCCCACCTGTTCCTCCCTCTGTCCTTGAGCCCAGGGATGGTGCTGGCTTTTTGATTACTAATCTCAGCGTTGCCTCACCGTCTTTCTGGCTTCGGAGCTCTCTAATCACCTGTGCAACCAATTCCTTGAATTACATTTTTGCTGTGTTCAAATACTTAGAGTGGTTTCTGTTTTCCTAATGAGGCACTGCTATGTAGGCTAACTTACTGTCAAGAGTAAGAATACCTTCCACAGCTTTCAGACACTTGACTATTTCAGGCAGCAGGGATATTTTTACTTTATAAAGTAGAAGAGTCTATTTGGGGATGGCTACCTCTTGGATTAGACTTGAGCTCAGTGAAAAGAGGGGAAGCTCCTGTCCTCCCCTGGTACCCACCTACCAGATTTATAACGCACACCTGTAACAAAAAAGAATATGTCATCTACCCCCGAGTGGGTAGAAGGGAAATTGTGTGAAGAAAAAAGAAACGAAAGAAAAGAATAGTTACAGGCAGAAATTTACGATTGGAGGACATTGTAGGTTGAAATAGGAGGAGCAATTTGAAGGGATTTGGGATTAAAGAAAAGGAACAGCTCAGAAGAGGAGAGCTTTGTAAACTACAGACCACCATCTGATTATGAAAACTACAGACTGGCAAGAAGATTTTACATCATAATATCCGGTGCTGAGAAGGCTGTGGAGAAATGAGCTGTCTCATACATTAGGAGCACACATTCACATGACTTTTCGGGAGGGCATTTTGGCAAAAGCCTATAAAGAGCTAATACTCCAATTTGGCATTCTACTTTTAGGAATTTGCCTTAGGAAATAATCAGAGATGTGCCCAATGATTTACACGCAAGAATGTTTACTACAGGTCATTTATTACTCTACAAAACATTGAAAATAATAAATGTCCAACAACGAAACATTGATTAAATAAATTATAGTACAGTCATATAATGGGTTTGGAGTCAGGCAATAAAGTCATGTATTAGTCATGAATAACATGAGAAATATCCACAGTATATTCTTAGGGCAGATTACAAAGTAATATTCATCTAATAAAAATACTGAAGTTCATTAACATTTTTTGCATATTTACTATGTTCCTGCTACTGTTTTAAGTACTCTCTGTGTATAACTCATGTAAGCTTCCTATCAGTCCTGAGGGTGTTTATTATTATTAAACCATTTTAGAGGTGAGGAAATTGAAGCACAGAGAGCTTGAGTCATTCACTCAAGATTATACAGCCATGTAGATGATCACACCAGACTTCGAGACTAGGCGGTGCAGAAAATATTGCCTCTCTAACGTAATCCCAATTTTCAGAAATTAGTTATACAAGCAGAAGGATGCACATCAACATTTAACCATGGGTGGTGGAATTAAAATTATATTTTTATTTATACATACCTTTTTACCAAACATTATTTTTTTTAAGTCATGGAATTTTAAAAATAAAATAAAAATCTATGGGAGGGGCGCCTGGGTGGCTCAGATGGTTAAGCGTCCGCCTTTGGCTTGGGTCATGATCCCAGGGTCCTGGGATCGAGTCCCGCATCGGGCTCCCTGCTCCTTGGGAGCCTGCTTCTCCCTCTGCCTCCTTCTCTCTCTCTCATGAATAAATAAATAAAATCTTTAAAAAAAAAAATCTATGGGGAATCTCTCATCTTTATATAGATTCCCTGTATATATGTAATTAAATTAGATTTCCTCCTGCTAAAAATAAACATTTTTAAAAGTAAAAATCTATTGAAAAATAAAAATCTATTCCTTTGAAGGAAGTAAACAGTGGCAGAGAGAGTGAGGTTGAATCTAAGGAGCCAGGTGAGGTCAGGAAGGGAAATGAAATAGAAACAGTGCTGTAAATTAGGCCTACCAATAACCACATCATCTATGTCTCAGGGTCAGTATTTCGTTGTCCAAAGAGTATATAGTTCAAGAGTTAAAAACACCACACTCAAAGTAAAAGACCAAATTGGGCAGGAGGGAATGGGAGATAGTTAACAGACAGAGTAGTGCTACTTACAGAAGGATCTCTACTGGCTAAACTGTGAATCAGGAAACCTGCAAAATTCCAGTGCATTCAGACCTGTGATACTAGAGCCCATCACAGGGAGGTGCAATTAAATTTTTCAACCATCTCACATTATTTCCACTTCCATACATGGATATAATGACATGCATGTGGCAGTATGTCTGGGTTTTATAGCTCAGTGTATACTTACCCTTTAACTTTCTTGATGGCCCAACTCCTAACTAGCAAAGGTAAGTGCTAAGTCAAGAGATTAGATGTCAGAGTTCTCACAATTGTAGATACACACAATATGTTGCTTGTTTTTTTTTTTTTAAGGAGAAAATATTGTTAAAACATTCCCAAAGCAGTAACCATTTTTCCTGAGGACTTTAATTCATTCGGCTTCCCATTATTTAGACATCAAATAGCTATAAAACCTAAATAACCATAATTTGGGGTAGTATCTAAATGACAGTCATAATGGTTCTCTTGAAGTATGGCAGAATCTTCAAGTACTTCTCAGATCATCAGAAATATGCAATAATTTTCACATTGTTTTAGTATTTCTTATTCTTTTTTAAAAATATATTTTAGTTTCATTTGGTTACAAAGAGTGTGGGGGTTTGGGGGGTTTTGAGTTTTGTTTTGGTTTTTTTTTTTTAAGTAATCTCTATGCCCAGCATGGG